GACAGGAGTGTGAAAACTTGGCTGGGAAGTCTGTTGGCACTGGAGTGTTTCTAGTTCAGCTGCTTGCAAAAACTTACCTTGATTGGCCAGATTGGAAGAATTTTCTTTGCATAAATGCTAACTTTCTGCACTTATATTGGCAATATATGTCTGTACCTAAAAGTTGCATAGACTATTAAATTAATTATGACTTGCTGAAATTGTTTCCTTTAATGTAGGGAAGGATTGTGGTTAAGGCAACAATTTGCTCCTCCCCTGCAATACTAGAAGGGACATGTATTTTTGTCTAAGACGCTGTGTAGTGCAAACACAAAACACAAGTTTTGTTGTCATTTTTATTTTTTCTTCTTTTTTTTTTAATACTTAAAATACCCTGGATCTGGGGGGAGTGCATAGAAATGTCAAAGTCAAAACTGCATCTTCAAGATTCGGGAACTGCATGGATACAAGGAGCCTAACTGACCGGGTGGCTCTTTGTTCATCTGACCAGAGTTACTAAAGCTGCAGGAATGAGTGTGTATGACTTGAGTCCCTCAGGAGTACTGGAGCCTAGGACAGCTCTTCTTTCTTGCTGTTGGCTTGACATCTTTGCTAAAGGTGGACTTTGCTGCATCAAACAGGACCTGCTAAGAGTTCACTCATTGTCCTGGCTCTCTGTGCTCTAAGTTACCTATTTAGCTTCAGCTGTGCTCTCTAATGACTCAGCCAAAACCAGATGATGGTAAGTGAAGGAACCACTTGACACTGGAAGAAGGCTGCCTCTTCCCAGAGCAGAGCTATGCACTTAAAATTGTCATCTGCTTATTCTATCAGTCTGACTCAAGTCTGGGACCCATTGATGTTCAAGCTATAGGCTTTCAAAAAAGATTAGATTTTGTGTGTAGCCTGGATGATTGACTCCATAAACACCTGTGCTCTTCAAAATGAAAGAAATGTTTATAGATTGTCTCATGAATTCCAGTCAGAAGAGAACATTAGCCTCCCACACCACATCTCCTACCCAGGAAAAATATACTCACTGCATAAGTCATCGGAATACTTGCATCTTCACATTAGCAGACCAAGACCTATGTGCTTCCCCAGCAACATCAACCTTCAGTATACCTTCAGTATACTTTTATCTCCTAACTTTTCCCCTTTCTACACCTTCTGTTAGGTGGCTTGAGTTGAGAATGGTAATTCACAGCAGCAGGCAGTTACTTCAAATTTTTCCATAGTAATAATGCTTTTTATGTCAAGGAGTTTACTTTTCTCCTGACTCATGGCCTAGTGCTTGTCACTCAGAGTAAAATGGTCACTTCAACAGGTGTCCTTTGCATGAACTGGATCTCCTTCTCTCTCAACCCCATTGTACGCTACAGTCATTGCAGATGTGGATGCTTGCTAGATGTTTTGCAAGGATAAGACATGGGGAAGGTTATTCTAGTGAGACCATAAAGAGTTCTTGCCCAGCACTAGTAGTAGATCAGGATGTGCAAGTAATTGTCCCAGTTTCAAGTCAATGTCAGTCAAGTGCAATAAAAACTGTTTCTGCTTATGAGCTTCTTATAGTAGTAGAGGAAGTGGAATTCTAGTTTATATCCCAGATAGCTTAATGTGAAAATGGCTTAGGGAATCTCATTTAGACCTGCCTGTTTCACTTTTGTCCTGAGGCAAGATAAAAATACCATTTTAAAGTTGACAGCAGTTGAGCCAGAAAAATCTGCTTAACTTTTGCCAGTGTACCCTAGGAAAAGGACACTTACTAGAGCAGTTTTGTAGCTTTAAAACGTCCCATGAGGAGGTATTCTGCTGAGTGATACTGTCTGTAGACAGTGGTCTTGGGAAAAGAAAGTGAGTATTCATGCTGGGTTATAAAACTTGGAAGAGAAGTATGCCAGTGAACTCCTCCTCAAGGCTCTGAAAAGATTCTGCAGCCAAGGGATGTGGTTCTGAATTACATGAGTTCTGATCTGGCAGCATTGCTATCTAGAGGGATTAGGAAGTAACACTTGATCTCTTTAATCTCTGTGACATGCTGTGTATAAGGAACTATTGCAGTGGCATGCCTCTTTTGAAAGTGTGGAATTTAACAGCTCTTTGAAGAAAGGAAGAGACTGTACCCAGTGAACATACTTCCTTACCTTTGTACCCAAAGTAACAGTATTCTGTACTTCTCATATAGTTCACAGGAGACCTTAGGCCTCTGGAATAGTTAAGGGTTTTGTTCTATGTTGAAATTTTTATTTAAGGAATACAAATGTTTTTTCAAAACTTTCAGGTAAAATAGAACTTATTTGCTCCTTGTTTGTGAGGAGCAAACAGGCCAGTGGAACAAATGTTCAGTGTGACAAACGGAGTATTGAGCGAGAGGAAAAATCACATAAGAGCAGGCAAGTATTAGGGTGGTTTTTCTGCTGAGAGGGAACAGCAGTGAAACTTGACGTAAGCTAATTTGGAACACTGAGACTTGCTGAGAATTCTCCAGTTTAAGAAAAGAAATTAGTAGTTTCAGAGTAAGAAGCTGGCAGCTGGGAGGTGAGCATGGTGTTTTTAATGAAGTGCAATTTTTGTCTTTTATTGACTATTTCATGACCTTTAAAAAACAATCAGAAATATCCCTGGCTTTTGATTTTTGAAATATGGTGAATGTAATTACAGGGCTATTGCCTATTGCATTTTTTTCTTGTATGTGTGATGAAAGAACTGTGCTTCCTTGAACAACAGGGGAGTAATTATACTTCTCTCTGTTTGCAAAACCCTTAATACTGTGCTGGGTGCTGCTACAATGTGGATTTAGTGACAATTTGGCTTTAGTAATCCAGTAAGGAAATGATTGTGTAATCCATTGAGCCATTTTACTGAGATTATCTTAAACAATAGCTTTGAACTGAAGGGTTTGTTTAATACTCTCCAGTAGCTTAATGGCTAACTTCATACAAAAGCTGCTGCAGAATTCTCTTTAAGAAGAATGTATTTGACAAATTGTAATTGCTGCTGTGTTCCTTGCACATACATGAATGTGAAAGAATCCCCCTGAACCTGAAACATCCTGTGTTCTGCCAAATTTCAAATAATGATTTGGATCAAGTGCTGTGGCTCAGATCCACTTTTAATTTTCCCCCATTGTTGGCTTCCAGGTTGCTGCTTTAAATCTGAAAAGCTGTTCTGTAATTACTTGGTGCAGAAGCATTCATCAGAGCAATAAGAAACTTATTATTGCACTGGTCTTTTTTTAACACCAGGTCTCTTCCTGTTTTGTATAACTTGAGAATTATTCACCTTTCTAGTTGTTCTATGACAGTCTTCAGCAGTTTGGGGTTGGTTTCTCAATCTTTAAAGCCATTCTGTTCACTGCTTTGTTACAGTGTAAAGTGCCATCCTAAATAAATAACAAACCATAGCTGTGGCTGCTGGAGTCTTGCAAAAGCAGAGCAACCTATTCTAACATAAAAAGTGAAGATCAGCTATTTACTTCTATCCAAAGAGCCTTTAAAGGGCAAAACCTTCCTCTTTGTAATTTAAGAAATATTCAGGATTTTTTTTCCAAATCAGTTGCTCAGACTTTAAAAAAAATAAATACTGCTTATCCAGGTTACTGGTAATGCCCAGTAACAGAAAAGCTCAGAACAAGAGCTGACTGAGGAATGGTGAGTATTTTTTCTTCTAAGTATTTTTTGTTACACTTGCAGTTTAGCATAAAACCACAGTGATGAAGAGGAACACGACAACAGGGTGTCTCATTTCTGTCAATGTCCTTTACTTCAGTGGATCTCTGAGGTCAAAATGGAATTATCAGCATGTTTTTTGCTTTCTGTGAACTAGACTACTTTGTTTGGAAATGCATAAAATAAATGAAAAGCGGAAGAGGTGTTCAAGCTTTTCCTCACTTAAAAAAACCTGCAAATACAGGTATGGGCGGAAAAAGTCTACAAGCTTCTGTTTTCCATCTCTGCCCTTCCTTTCCTTTTCCAATGGTCTCTTACTTCTGTAAATGGAGCTGGTATGAGAGAAGGGTAAGGGCAGTTATTGCCTCCTCTAGCAAGGACTGTCCCATGTACATTTCCTTCAAAGAAAGGAAATGGCCCTGTGCATCTGATGGTCATGGAGAGAGGCAAGCCTGGCTTTTCTGGCATGGACTCCTCCCTCCAACAGATTTTCACTGTGCAACTTTACATTTTAGGTTCCTGCCCACTTTGCTGCTTAGTGTCATTCTTGCCAATAACACATGCAAAGAATAGTTACTAGAAATCGAAGGTTTTAAGTCACTATATTTCAAGCAGGAAAAAAAGCCCAATTCTAGGTGTAGTAGGCTGACCCTGGCTAGATGCTAGGCATTCACCAAAGCTGCTCTGTCACTGTGCTCTGGAACTGGACTGGGGAGAAAATGTATCAAAGGTTTGTGACTTAAGGTCCAGGAGAGATCACTCGCCAAATACTGTCATGGGCAAAACAGACTCAACTAAACCTAAACCTAATGTAAGAGAAATTATTGTTCCACAATTTTCCATTGGAAGATATTGTCACCACATTGCAATTAGAGAACACCTTGATGCAGTCATTGTGAATAAAAAAGATTTGCTATTGACCATCCCCTTCTAACAGCTCTGCAGTAAATGCTGGTGCCAACTTTACACAGGTAAGTTTCAGAAGAAGAATTTTTCTTTTGAACAAAAGGAATGAGGAGAAAGACGCAACAGGACAGCAATCTCCAGAACCTTTGCTGTCTCAGGAAATGGCCTGTGTAAAACTAAACTGACCTGAAACTAAAAAGGCAATTAATTGCCTTCTGGGGAGACTACCAGGTGATAAACACCAGTGGTTTGAAGAGGGAGGGGGGAGGCTTTTTAAGTGTACCAAAAGGGCTTGATGCATATTTTATGTAAAATGTTATTGCTTTTAGCATAAAATGATTTTGTTCTGTCTGTCTTCTCTCTCTTCTGGACTTGGCCGGGCCATGTACAAATCCCAATCATTCAACAGTACTGGAGAGTAGATAGTATTTACCTCAATAATGGTAGTTTCTTTTCGATTCTTTCTAACCCTCAATTCAGATGATGGTTCGAAGCCAACGCCTACCATGGAAACCCAGCCTATTTTCGATGGAGAAGGTAAGAACATCTCTTAAAATAACAACAAAAAAAGCTACTTACCTCTCCCTTTTCTCTAGGATTTATGGTTCAAATGCTTTCTATATCCTGCAAAGCAGACAAGCCAGTGAATCTCATAATTTATCCAAATTTTAGAGTGCCCTTGGGACCTCAGGCATTTTCCCTAATCCTTTTACATCCTCCCCACTTTTCTGGAATCCAGCAATAACACCAGTTGATCAGACTCCTGGTGTAATCTTGGAGGAAAGAGTGTGTCCCAGCAAGTAAAAAAAAGGTGCATCAAATCAGAAGTGGCCACTTCCTTTAGACTGTCCTTATCCCCTTACTATCTCCACTCTGGTGATACTAGTGCTGGGAGTTTCATAACCTCTGCAATGTGTTACAGCTTCACAAAAGGAAGGGTAATGCTAAACCACATCTTGTGAATGTTGACTTGGAAAAAAATTGCTGGGAGGTTTCTTTATTTAGCAAATGCTTTCATTGACGCACATACTATTTAAGCAAATGAAGTCATTGTCCTGGGCCCACTTAATTCATGGCCCACCCAGGCAGTTTCCTTCTCAAACAGGCAATCTTGCAATTGTATTATTTTGGAGAGGGAGTATCGGACCTTAGTCTATTGGAAGCCTTTAAACAAGGATAAAATGGCTGTCATCACAGAGGGTTCAAGCCTTTTACACGTACAAACATAAAGACCAGTGGAAATAATGCTCCTTTGGTAGTGAATGGGCCTAAGAGCAGCTACTTATATCTTGCATATTGCTTGGAAATAGTGCCTGTTTTCTACAGGTTTAAACCCACAACTATTATAGTGAAGCTATGGGCAGAAGTATGAACCACTCTGTAACCCATCTGAAACTGTAGACCATAAGACAGTGAGGGAAAGCCTGTGCATTTTCATAGGGGACTGCTGTACTTCGTGCCTTTTTTAAGCTGGATCAAAGGCAGAAATGGAGACTACTGAGCAAGAGCAGGAGGTACTTTTCTGTTGATATTTCCTTCTTTCTTGTAGAAATGGGTGCTGTGGTGGGGTTTTATTGTTGCTAAAATAAACATATTTAGTGGCAAGATGCTGTAGTCCTATCACTTCATATTTAGTGATGGTAGATTTGTTACAATCTTATTGTGAGCTTTAAGAAACAGTAAAGCTCTTAGAGAAAAAACACCCTCAAATAAACAAAGGAGACTGAAGTCATGCTGGCTCTCTCTTGTTTATATCAAAAGAGGGTTCCTCCTGGCAGTAAGCTGATATTGTATTAAATTACTGTTGGCAATCACAAACCTCTGACCTTAAAGTTTTCCCCTGAGAGGGTACCCATAGATATTTAAAGGAAAGAATGTGCTAGAATGCAGGAGTGAGATGATGTGGTTAATACAGCCTGGTCAGAAGCTCCTTCTAGGAGAGTTTCAATGTTTTGGTCATTCAGATAGAACTGGACAAAGTTCTTGAAGTGGTGTAGTGAACATGCCTTTTCTGGTGATGGGCAGAATCTGAAAAAAAGTGTTATTCTACTTTCCATGAAAAACTTTTTCAAGCAAAAACCTTAACATTGATTTGTAGGTGAACTCCAGTCTAATAAATGGGCTTGGACTGAACAATGAGAGATTGGCTCTCAAAAACATTGCAATGTATTATTCAAGACCTTATCTCCTGGACTTTGGGTGGGAATGACTAGTGCCATGGCCTGACTCTGCATGGACAGGCAGGTTAATCAGGCTATGCATCGATGAATAATCTCTTCGAAATTTGTCTCTATATTTTGTAATCTCTATTAGTGAAATAGGACTAAGTAGACTTCAGTGGTGGCTGTAAGAATAAACAATTAACTGTGTGATTCTTGGGGTGTCCTGTGCAGTACCAGGAGTTGGACTTTAATGATTCTTGCGGGTCCCTTCCAGCTCAGGATATTCTGTGATTCTAAAGTACTGTGCAACCTGCTCTGTTCTTGAAGCTGACCCTGTCTGGAGCAGAAGGTGGGACCAGACACCTCAGGATGTCATCCTGAACAATCCTTTGATCCTATCCAAGCAAACATGTTGTAATACTTCACTAGAAGACTCTCCCAGTGGCTTGGGCAGGTCTTCCTGAGGAATGGCTTGTACTTTGTGTCTGACAAAAATGATAAAAAAGGGCAAAACAGTTTTCCTTTCACCTGTCAGGTCTGAAATCTTCATAGATGTTCAAAGGCATTAAAGTTCAGATCACATTCCACTTCAGTGAATTTGGGAGCTGATGGGTTCCTGTAAACCTGTATATTCAAAGTCAGGCAGCCAGGGTGGAGCTGGTATCAGCATGAATGGACAATAACAATGTAGGGTTTTTTTTCATGTTTTGCCTTTTGTTCCTACCTTCCATACACAAGGGGCTGACTTTTTTCAAAGGGCATTACATACACTCAGCTGCCCCTGAAATGTGTGATACCTCTTGGACTTCAGCAGCTCTAAGATGAAGATTCACCTTTCCCATGTTTTCATCTACATTAGAGGATAATGAAAATTCACATTTCATGCGTAAGTTCCCCTCCCACTCCCTACCATCTTCCCTGGGGGCATAACAGAGCAGTGCTAGAGATAATGTAAATCAGATAACTTAAACTCTCCCATCCAAGGTTTGAATCATAACACAGCCATCTCTCTAAAAATTATTTCATATTATTATAATGCAGATCTTAGAGATGTTTATAGTGAATCTTTTTTTAGGACAAGATTCTCCTCTGCTGAAGAGTGTTTTGTTAATGTCCTTGGTATAGTTTTAAAATCTTATATTCCCTCCTGCACTTCTAGGCTCCGTTATTTTGTTTTCACTATTTTGCACCTTTCACCATGTGCAAGGTGTAATAATTTCCTACAGATATCTTCTTTACACATCTCTTCTTTTTGGTAAACTTCGCCTCTTAATTCAGTGAGAATCTACTCTTTCCACAGATCTGTTGTTCAGAGGTGCCTGTAATCCAAAAAGAAGTCTGGGTTACCTGGATTGAAAATACACTTTTATGGTAGATTCCAAGGAATTAATTTCCTTTTTTCCTTTATCTTTCTCTTTTTTCACAGAATTCCTTTTTGTGCACCTTTCAGCCTCACTGAAAGATGTACACCATTGTATTTCTAAAGGCCTTCATCATTCTTCAGCACCTATTGACTTTGATTGTCCCTCATTTTTCAGCTGTAGATGTACCTGGTCCATATGGTGCAGATTAAGAGCTAAATTTCATCCCAGATATAGGAGTTTAAGCCTGTTTTGGGGAGAACTACCTCAAATTAAACATTGGGGAAGCACTAGGAGGGGAAGATACACAAAAGTAGAAATAGTCCATAAACCAAAGCATATTGGTATATGTATTTATAAAAGCATATGATGGCTGAATGTTGATAAAATAGTGTAGTAAAACTGGCAGATAAGGCAATTTTTTGTATGTCAGCAGCAGTAAAAGTTTGTTTAACAGCGTTCAACCTGTAGTTCCTTGTAAAGAAAATGCCCTGAACACAATTACTATGATGCCTTCAGTCAATGTGGCTGAAAATATTTATGGAGGAGAAATTAATTTTCTTTTTTTTTTATGTTCTTGTAATTTATAATCAGTTTCTCTTTACTCAGCCATCTTCTCCCTTTGCTGAGCAGATCCATGTAAATGTCAACAAGAAAGCAGGAAAACTCATGTGAAAAGTTCTTAGAGGAACTTAAGAAAAACCTCAGGATGCACTATTTAAGTTGCGTTCTTGTGGAAACTGAACTTTTTTTCAGAAGGTATCAGTCCTGAAAATGTCACATGAGATGTCCATGGTAGCAAGTACTGCTTTGCTCAGTTCTAATCAAATGCTGAGGTTATGTCATTTCTGTGGCTTAGGGCAGGTTCAGATATGTTTTGAAGTTGATTATAACACCTCAGAGGAGGTGCTCTAAGCACTTTTTCCACAAATTTATGTTTGGATGTCTTGGTTAGTGCATCAGACATGCTTTTCTAACCAGAACCTATTTCTTTAATAGACTTCCTTTCAAGTCTTTCCAGAAATATCTTCATGTCTCTGCCTATTTATTTCGGATTTTGTTGTTGCTTGTTTCAGGGAACTGACTGTGGCCAGACCTTCTTGGGCTGTTAAAGCAATACTTAAGGTCTGGATTGACTATTTAAAATCTGGATTTCATATGCACTTTTGGGGGAAACAGCATGTACTATAGCACCCAATGCAATGTTTGTGATCTCTGAGTCTTGAGGAAAAAGGCTTTTTGAGAATTTAGGAAGTGGGAATTAGAGGGAGGAAAAAAAATGTTTTGCCAGCAGATATATACTTTCTGAAACAGGAAGATAATGAGAGAACCTTGTGGAAGATTTACAGATGGTGGTTCATAAGAATTGGAAGAGCTCACCAGGGGATGCACCTCTCTGTACAAAGATGATAGATCAGTTATGGCATGATTGTAGCTGACATCCTGTTTTCTGTGAAGAGAGACTGAGAGAGTTGAGGTTGTTCAGAAGACACATTCTAGCTCATTCCAGTCCCTGAAGCCAGCCTACAAGAGAGCTGGAGAGGGACTTTTTACAAGAGCCTGTAGTGACAGGACAAGGGGGAACAGCTTTGACTGAAAGAGAGTAGGTTTGGATTAGGTATGAGGAAAAAACTCTTTACTGTGAGGGTGGTGGGGCACTGGAACAGGTTGCCCAGAGAAGCTGTGGTTGCCCCATTATTGGAAGTGTTCAAGACCAGGTTGGGTGGGGCTTGGAGCAACCTGGGATATTGGAAGGTGTCCCTACCCATGCCAGGGGAGTGGGAATAAGATGTTCTTTAAGGTCCCTTCCAACCCAAACCATTCAGTGATTCTGAGTAACTATCATGTGTATTTTTACTAGTTGCTGCAGTTTCTTTAAGGCTATTATTTTTATTCTTTCAGAAATCACAGCACCCACCCTTTGGATTAAGCACTTGGTCATCAAAGATTCCAAAATGAACAGCTCTAATATAAGGAATTCAGGTAATGTTCCATCTAAAAAAAATATTATTTTAACTAGTCTGCAACTCCTCACATCTGTTCTTGTTTCATTCTTTCTTCTTTGTAGCTATCAAGCTGCTAGGGTTACTTGCAGCCCAGGCTATAAAGTAATTTCAGATAAGATCCTTTTATGTGGCCAAAGGGCCATAATCAATGTGTGATGAAGGATGTTTGTTTCCACAAACCATTACTGGGGAATCTCTTAATTTCTTAATCTGTTAATTCATTTTAGTCATCTGTCATCTTTATTCTGTTTGCTGTTCAGCATGGATATATGAATTGAAGCATTTGGCTGAAAGATCTGGGCTGTCATTTTGGTCTAAGCAGTTGCAAAAATTACAAAAAGGGGCTTCTTTGCTAGTGAATTCAAGATTCTTCTCTGCAGGGGATATTTTTTGATAGAGAAATTAGCAGATTATTTCACAACTAAAGGTGGTTTAATTGTGTGTGAGCCTAAGAAAATGTTGAGGTTGTTTTGTGTGTAGTGGAGTGGATGGGGGAAGACCAAAGCCTAAAAAACAGCAAAGAAGAGATCATGAACATGAGTGGGAAAAACAGAGTGTAAAATTTGAGATTGGAGATGCAGGTGAAATGGTGGAGTGGAGTCATTGAAATGAGAAGAAACTGGAGGATCTGAAGAGGAAGGTTAGGGATTCTTAGTAAGAATGGTTTCTGTCTGATATTTTTACTGAGGTGGGAGAAATTAAGAAATTAAAGGGAATATAAGAGAACAAAATTGCTTTAAGAAGCCATGGGTTTACTTTAAGATTTGAATAGGAGATTCTACTATTGCATATATTTTATGAAACAGACATGCCTAAAATGGCTGTTGGAATAATTCCAGTCACCTAAACAGATAAATTGTGATATCTTGGAGTGCCTAATCACCTGGTATTTCTGGATTAGCTAGAGAGTATTCATGACATTTCCTTTAACCTTCCTCTGCCACTTCCAAGCTGCAGGGTCAAATCAGTGCTAGGTTGGGTGAAACTCTCTTGCTGCAGAATGAAGAGCTCTTGGCAGGAGGACAGCCAGCATTACCCAGACCACAGTTTTAACAAGTCTCTTGAGCTTCACCTCCCAGCTGTTTTTGCAGCAGGGTGGTCTGTGTAGGATCTGCCAGCAAGAGTCATCCAGAAGCTTCAGATGATGTGTGAGTATCAGCATCCTTCTTTAAGGATGTCTTTCAGGGGAGAGCAAACACAGCTTCTGTTTTTTGTCAGCTGCTGGGACAACCAGCAACTGACAGTACAATTGAATGTGACAGTGTAATATTAAAATCCTTTGTAATGGGTCCTACCTATCTTGGAGACCAGCTTTCCTTCTAATGCAAAAAACCTCATAGCTGTAATGGAAAGAAGAGTGCGTGCTAAGGGGTTGCAAAGGGACTTGGGAGCAGGAGGATCTGTCTTTTACCCTTTCTTGGCCTGACAGAGCCAAAGTAGGCTGGCTTGCATGTTGTAAAGGCAATCACTTCGATTGTTTAGTCAGGAAGCTGCCTGATGTGAACTGGAATTTTGTCCAGAAGGGTTCCTTGTGTGACTTTGCTTTTGCTCACTTTTTTCAATTGTTTCTGATGTCAGTTCTGTTACTCAGACAAAATTATTGTGAGTGCATGCTAGAAATGAGAAATAAATGATCTTGTGGAAAATTCAAGAGCTGTGTAAAAGGTGGTTTATACAGCAAGCTAAAAGGAGACATGTGGTTCATCTGACTCAGCCTTACTGATTGCCCTGATGCTTACTTGCTGTAGGGTCTTGTTAAAAGACCGGGTTGCCTGCTTTTATCCCCAAATTTCCCCACTGGGCCATACAGATACACAGCCATTTCAGTTTCTCACAAATTGTTATGAAATACTGCCTAGAGCTGTGGTTTAGGTGTCATAAAGTGTGGGCTACTTCAGCCTTTTTTTTTTTCAAATAGTGAAGCCTAATCACCTTGTTTGGTGTCTTTCATTCTTTTCATCCCTTGTAATATATGTTAAAGGCAATGTACAGTAGGTAGGATCAATCTGCAGAGAACTGGGGGGGATAATTATAATTTAGAATCATGTTTCTTCAAGTGTCTTTGAGTCTGTCTTGGCTGTAGATGATGAAACAGCTGTCATGAAATGGGCATGCAAAACTGGGGGATGTTTTTAATTGCCTTTGGCCCAACTTGAAATGCTAATGCTTAGCACATTTCCATTTTTAAAATTTATTTTTAAAGGGTTAAAATAAGTTAGGATAAGTTTTGCTAGCACAAGATTTGGATTCTTCTTTATTGTTGCCTCAGCTGTATTGTCTATCCAAGCTTACACTTACAGTCTTGGAGCAGATACAGTGTTGTATGCTTTTGCAGCAGTTTAATGATATCACTGAAATTGGAAGTGAGAAAAGAGTAAATACCTGGTAGGTCATCTAATCTACTGCCTTAGGGCTAGTGAATGTTTATACTGTAAGGAGAGCAGCATTTTCTACAGTACCATAAATGCCTTAGATAATAAAGATTTTATTTCTTCTCAAAGGAAATTTCTCTGCTCTCTGAATTCAGTCTCAGATTTTTTTCTTTTTGTAATATCCAGCCTAACTCTTCTTTTACTTCCTATTCCTTGGCGTTTGTATAGTGAAATACTTAGCTCTGATCTGTCTTCTCCCTGTGGTGATTATATGGCCCTGTCCTTTTCAGGTACTGCTGTCAGAGGATGTGTGCTGTTCTCTAATCAGCACTGAGACCGGACATCTTGGAAAGCAAGCACCATTGCTATGTCAGCCACAAGGAGAATTTCAGAATTGCTATATGGAGTCAAATAGACTCTTTAATTTGCTGTCATTGTCTCTGGTCAGTGTTAGGTGAGCCACCCACCAGGCAGCTGAGCATTGCAGAGCTGGTGGCACCCCATGTAATATATGCTCCCTGTCTCCTGTAAGGGCTGCATTTGAAATCTGAGTATTCCATCTTCTGTTTAGTGTTGACAAACAGAAGAGGTTCTTCTGAAACTGATCTCTTTTTTTTTTTTTTTGGAGCACTTACATTTTGTTTGGCATGTGTAAATCCTAATTAAGCTAGGGATCAGGAAAAGCAGAATGACTCCAGCCTGGTGATTAGAGCACTTGACTGAGAATCTATATGTCTCCAGGCATTTTGCCAGTGAGTTTTTCTATGCTCAGTAAAAGAGCATTGCTAGGAGGGATTGCTAGTGCTGTTACTCCAGCCCACCTTAAAGAACTAAATGGCACCCTTTTCTCAGTGGGTTCAAACCTTCTCAGCCAGAGGCAGGAACCAAAATAGGAACATCTGGGCTGTTGCACAGCAGAAGAGTTGTTTTTTCTACACTAAAAACTACATTTTCTGTCTGTATGAATCCTGCAAGTCCCGAATTTTTCTTTTTGAGGCAAGTGAAAGGCCTAGATCAACACAATGTTGTTGTGGCAACATGACAAAAATATTTTTTGCTGCTACTCCCCTTTCCCAAACACGCACATCCACATGTGCATGCACATGGGTACCTTAAGCTAACTAAGACAGTTACCTAGCACTGCTCTCTGTGTTGTTTTTAACACCACCAGAGCAGGAGGTGATTCAGGTGGGGTTCTTGCAATGGCTGTTCTCTAATCAGCATGGCTGGCAACTGTCTTTTCATTCTACTTTTACTGTTTCAGCCTCTTCCCCTCACCCCCAACCTATTTCAGCCTGTGTGATTATTTTTTCTGAAGTTCTTAATCTAGGGAAGCATTTAATAATTTCTCTTCCAAGAAATCTAATGGCTGCTTGGTTAGGAGCACCCCATCTCCACTGAGGAATCCAGGGATTTTCCTCACTTCCAGAGCTGGGTTATCTCCAAATTCATTTGTGCTACTTAGTGATTTGGTTTTAGTTAGCAAGAGTTTCCAGCCTATCCAGCTTACCGTGACAACCTTTAAGAAAACCACAGAATGATGTAATGAGCCCCTGCATGGAAAAATAAACAACTCTGGAGAAACCAGCAGTAGCAACCTCAAGTAAATATTCTTCAGTCACTGGGGTTTTCAAAATGACGTTATTTGAAAGGAAGAATGAGTAATATATTAAGGTTAGCAGCTGAAGACAGGTTTGTATGTGCTGTGCCTCGTTCACACAAAAAAAAAAAAAAAAAAAAAACACAAAAAAACCCATAGCTGTTTGTTTCAAAATCTTGCTTGGTGAATGGGGACCAATTCCATGTGGCCTGTTCTGTTCTGAGCTGTCTGAGCTCTGGCACTCAGGCATCATGCTGGCATCTCATGATGGCATTCCAGTGATAGATCTTTCTCCTCTCAGGAGCTCTTAGTGGACAGAGTATAACTGAATGAGCTTTGAAAACAAGAATGGTGGCATTCACATTTCTTTTTCTTAATTGAGTCAACTTGAAGCCCAAACTTTAGGGCTTTTCAAAGCGGCAAACAACTTGAAAACTTCACATCTGTATGTATTCCCCCCTCTACCTGAAAGGGAGTCTCTTAATTCTTGGGTGCAGTTTATTTCCAGAGATCTGCACAGTGAAGAGGGATATGATTATATCAAGTGTTATTACCAGGACCTGAGTCCTTTGGTTTGTCTGTGTTCCTTAAGGGGTCTTTTTTCCCACTTGCAGGAAAAAAAAGATAAGAAAACATCCATGGCACCCCCAAAAACATTCTCTCTAGTGCTCAGTTAGGAAGTTACACCATTTTCCTGCATGCCTTTTTATTGATCAGGGGTAGTAACTGCCCCAAGGGCTAATGTACTCATGGGTGTGCTGCCTTATCCATATGGAGGCTTTCTGCAGTCACATACATTAAAAAGGAGTCTGCGTGAGACCGTATTGGAAATCCATGTAATTCCTCTTGATCAGGTGAGATGAACATGTAATGAGACAGAGCTTGAGAAGGAAGCTCTTTTCAATAGTGGAATACCCCAAAAATAGCCAAGGTTAGACAAGAGTTTAATTTGTTATTAGAACTTTCTTTTTCAGAAGTGAGGATAAACAGAAAGAGCTTGAATGC